GATGAAGACAGGAAAGGATGTCCAGGTCCCTATGAATAGTGCTGCACCTGGCAGAGTTCACACATAATATTCTGTGATTTCAGCCATGCTAGAAAAGGTGCTACTTACCTGTTTTGCTCTCTGAATCTGGAGTTACAGATCCCCCCCATGACCATCTCTTCTGCCGTGTTTCCAGTCGCTGATTCCGTTCCAAGGTACGATGCATAACCGCTTCATATCGCTCCTATCATCAAACACCACAGAATACCAGGTTGGAAGTGACCTCAACAATCATCTGGTCCAATCTTTCTCGGCAAAAACACATCTCTATGAAGCTTATAACTATAAAGCACAGCTATGCCAGAAGACAAAATAGAGATTTTTTTTTTTTTCCCCAGAATGATTTAAAATGTTTCACCTATACTGCCTGATAATAAGCTTTTGTTACAAAGACCATCATGCAATGTTAATGGCAATTAATGATTTCAAAACACTGCAAACATGATTAGGTTCAGCTAAAGCACAGATAATCTATTCTACTCTTTACTTAAAATATCCACCAAACAGATTTCCTATTCAGTAAACAGCATTACTTATTTTCTAAATAGGGATGAACCCCAAACTGAGCAAAAAGAATTGCTCACCCCTTAAACTATTTCTGTTTCTATTGAGGTGATAAAAATTCTCCATTACAAAATACCAAGTATAAGGTTATTTGTATTTTCAGAGAACTATACAAACACTGACCCAAGTCTTAACAGATACTGGCATTAATAGAGATTATGATGAAACCAGAAATAGCAAGACATGAAGGCAAAACCACAAAAAAAAGACCAATCGACTCCAGACCTCAACAACCACTGCTGACAGGACAAAAAGGACTGAGAGAAGCTTTCGCTTCTGTCTCCAGGGCTAGTAACTGCTAGAGGGGGAACTTCAGCTCTTGTGCATAAGGATGAACTGTTTCTTCTCAGCCAGGTTTCCATACGTGTGTCAACAACAGATTTCTCTCCTGGAATAGTCATATCCCAAGGGATCTTTTGAAGCAGTTATTTATTGCTGATACATTGCAGTAAGATGCCAAGGGGACTCATTATCCAAACATTTCTCCCTCTTGAGGACACAAGACTTTCACCTTCTTTCCACACCATTTCACAACACAAACTAAAAAAGTCGCAGCGTGTAACAGATAAAGTGAACTTAGAAGGAAGGGAGGAAGGATTCCATTCACTGACAACATACAAAATTAAAAGTTTTTGTTTGAAATATAAAGCTTGGCATCCTCTCTGTCAGAAAAACTTGAACTAGAGTTTACCTAAAGTGCCAAAGTACCCAGACATAATGCAATCTGCAGATGATATTTCCATGGAAGTACCTACAGTGCGGTAGCTCTTCAATGTCATAGGCTTCATTTTACAAACAAGAGAAAATCAGTTATCAGCTCAAGACATCAAAACAGTAAGTTGCACAGCTGTACAGAATAACTGAGTAACTGTGAGAAGACAGCTATCTCAATCCTAGCCATGGCTAGTTGTCTTCAAGACTCTCTTAGGCAGAGCGCTACATCTTTTTCCACAGTATTTGCTACTGTGCTGCTGCTTCTATTTTACCTAAGGAAGATGACTAACTAAATGAGACTTGGCTGAATTACCAAACAAGAATGTTGGAGATCATGTATTTTTTGATGCACTTCTATCTACTAAATTTACAACTGTAGATGGTATCTTACTGGCAGATATTGCCCTAAGACAGCTTAGTTTCTTTAAAAGTTATTATTTTCTAACATCAGAGTACCAAAGTCAAGATCTGCTTTCACTTTCTCATTGAAAGTAAGGTTTACAGGCAGGTGAAGTGCACGTTGTTTTCCCACCTGCCGGATTCTTCATGTATAACTCTCTATGTACAAGGTCAACTTTCTCCAGGGGCCAAGTGAAAGACAAGGTTAACACCAACCAAACACTCATCAGCTAGTCCTTGCCTTCCTTGATTATTCACCCTGGTGGTCACTTAAAACATATTCACCGTCCTCAAAATTACATGAATAAATGTACTATAGGCTTAGGGCTAACACCTCTTGAACCGTAAAGGATGCTTTTTCCTTGAAGTAGTTGCTTAAAGCGATGATACTGCACTGGACTGCAGTCAAGGCCCACCCAAACATTTCTGCTTGTTCTCCAGCAATGTGAAATATTCCATGAAGTTAAAGTGGAATATCAATCTGAACACACCCAGAAGCCCATTACAGATAACCAGACATCAGTGTAGAATACTGCCAGTCAAAAAGGGTAAAAAAAGACGTACTGCTAGAACAATGTGACAATACTGGACTCCAAGGGATGAGCCAGCCAGGCTTACAGGCTCTTCATCAATGACCTACAGCAAGTTCTTACAACTAGCTTATGAAAGCACATGTGTGCGTCATGCCTTTACTGCTGACACCCTGGAAATGAACCTTTTCAGAACTTGCATCATATTTAACACACACTAGCAGACATGCTCCTCAAAAGGGATGGCATAACTTCATGTATTTATTTCTACTTTCAGCTTCTATCAATTGGCAACAAGCTCCACAATTCAAACACTGTTCTACTGGTCCATGGGCAGTCAAAGCAAAGGCAGGGTTGAGTAAGAACAGTCAATACACAGTTCAAAGTGTCAAATGGTAACTACACCAATAACATTACTGACCACTGAACATACAGTAACAAACTGTAATTTCGAAGAACTGGAAGAATGTGAGCCTCTCAGGCCACAGCGGGGCTCCCAAGAAGCAAAATACAGAACTAAGAAAAGTCTAAGACCTGTCACCCACGCTGATTTACAAACAGAATCTACAACGTGCACTGAAAGGAATCTAGAAATCTAGGAACATGGGGTGGGGTTTTCGCTCACGTGAAAAATAACCAGTGGCCAAACAACAGCCAGAGCTCCTGAAGTCCTGAGTGCTTCGGGCATAGCTAAAGCCAGTCCTGGGATGGGGAAGGACGACATGTGTCTATATAGCCCACTGTACAGACATGGAAAACACTTTTTTATGTTCTAATACATTCACCATTTCCATAAATTTCTATTTCACACCACTTCAGAGCATGGTAATACAGGAAAAGAATGTAGGCGTTTCTTTAAAACATAGAACTTGGACATGTAGTACCTTTTCCTCCTCTATTTTTTGTTTTCTCTTTTCTTCTACTGCTGCCCTCCGTTGTTCCTCTTTCTGCTTCTGTTCTTTTAGCTTCCTCTGCCTTTCTTCTAACTGTTTTTCATACTGGAGTTTTGCTTTTCTCTCCTTTTCAAGGATTTGTGTCTCTTTGGCAGCTGTAAATTTTTAAGAAAAAATTAAAATCAAACTTAACTATTCATTGATAATACAATGCAACTTACAGGCAAGAGACTACCAAGCAAAATTATCACCACTGAAAACAAAAACATACAGCAAGATTAGCTTGCAGAGCTGGATAATGCTGCCCATGACAACAGAAGGGTCTTTAATTACGTCCCCAGGTTGGCTGGAATTAGAACCTTTCCTGCCATTAGACTTTACTGCCTAGACGAGAATGTCAGGATATGCCTATACCTTATGTCAAGCATACACTTTTCTTGCCACCATAACAGTGAAGTCTTTTTAAGTCAGTAGTGAGTTGAGTATCAAAAGGTGGAATTGTCTACGTTGTGATTTTCATTTTTTTTAGAACAAGATAAAATGAAAAGATTTAAAGCACCCAGTTACAAGATGGGAAAACCCCACGGTTACTGCATCCGAGTTCAATACAGTTATGTCACTGTGCCCTGCAGCCTCCACCTAGAAACAGCTGTGCTCAGTTTAACAGGAAGCTTCAAGTCCTGTGACAAAAAGCTAGTGGTTGGATACACATTGGAAGTATTTTCCATGGCTAGTCAGATGAAATGAACTGAGACACCAGATAATGACACCAACAATGTGCAGGCAGCATCTATACGTAAGGCCCCAAAATACTTCTGAATTTATATGCGTCCTAGTCCTATCCTCTCTGCACGTTAGGATAACACAATCATTCTCATTGCTGTGTGTCTTTGCTTTTATATTAAGAAACAAACATACAAGCCAGAGAGACACCACTCCTCACAAGCTGGGAGACCAAGAACCAGGACTGCAGGGCATACTGTGACCCTTTCATCTCTTGGTGCATATACATACACTGATTCACGTCACAAACAGCATGAAGCTGGGCAAGAGTTTTATGCTCTTCTCTAGGTCACAGATTTTTCGCAAAGATAAAGTGTACACTGCTGACTCTTCAATCCAGGAGTCATTTCAATGTGCTAGGAAACAAGGGAAGCAGTGTTCAAGGCAATCAAGTAATTCAACTAGCTAAACCTTTTTCAGTTTTCTCTGAATAAGCGTTCCCCAAACCTCAGTCTTCAGGGCTACAGGAAGCAGTTCTAAGCTAAAAGTTTTACTTTCAGAAGTGCTTTTGTTAAGGCTTTCAATAAGAAACTGGCTAAATTTGCTTGGTGATCAAGAAATGGAAGGTCAGAAATGACATACAGCTTCAAGAAGCTAAAAATCTCTGGAATGTTTTTGTCTCAAATCTAATACTTCTCCATTCAGGTTCACAGATAGTCACTGATGCAAGATCAAGAGCAGACCTTGTCTCTTGTACCCAGCAAGCTGAAAAAAAGTGACTGAACAAGGAGTAAGAGAGTAAGTCATTCCATTATCACAAACATGTTAGGAAATTATATTTTAAATGAAACATGAAAATACCATGTTGCTTTTCCCGCTCTTCTCTACGCTCCCTGGCCAGTCTTTGTCTTTCTTCCGTTCTTAGAGTGGAACCATCTATCACTATCAAAAGAAAAATTGAAGACACATGACCGTCAGTTATTTTGAACATTCAAATTTAAATAAAAAAGTTGAAACTCTTTACTATCAAAAGGATAATGGAACTTCCTGAGAGATACACATACCACCAAAGCACTACACACTCTATATACAGATTAAAGATGCCATCTGAAAAATTCTTAGAAAGTTGAATACCCACCCTTTTCCCCTTTCTATTCCCTCACAACAACCAATCCACTATTTTTAAATGGTGCAGCAGAAAGCAGACAATATTAAAAGGCCCAATGTGTACAGTCAAAAGAAAACCTGAGCACAAGTCAGACGTGTGAGAACACACCCTTATTGCAAATTCAGCTCTGATCCTCATTCTTGTACACACTAATTCCCATGATCAAGAATTACAGGAATCTAGGAAAACTCAATCTGAGAACAGATTTGTCATGACAAATTCAAAGCGCTGTAGGACAGCTAGTTTCCAGGCTATGCAGAACCAAGACTGCTTAAGAATTTGCAGGTACAAATTTGCAATTTCAGCAACAAGTAAACTGGTAACCTGACCAGAGCACAAAAAATAATTTACCTTTGTTGTTAGGTCCCACTGAAAAGATAGGTACCTTCACCAACTGAACCTCTCACCAACTGAGAGAGTGAAGAGCAAGTCTGTCATCAAAACCAGACCTTCAATGAATCTACAAACCACCTACCAGGTGCTTTATGCTCTGATGCCTCCTGAAGAAAGAGCATCAAACTTCCTTTTAAAAGATGTTTTATTCATTCCCTAACAACTCTCCTTTGTGAACCCAATACTTCATTAAGAACAATGACCAATAATTATACCTGGTTTAGTTGCTGTCTTTATATTTATTGAGGTCTGGACTGCAATAGGGCTAACGCCACTTTGGCTTCTTCTTTCTTCTGCTATGGCTTGGGCTGCAGCAACTGTGAGAAAGAATCATTCCATGTTAAGCTCTACAACCAAAACTCATGAAATAAATATCTAAAATAAACACATAAAATTCTATTTCAGGTTGCAGATCCTTTTATTAAAAACTAACTTGGGGCTGCTCAACTTTTAAGAAGAAACTCGTCAAATGAGACTTCAGATCTGGCACATCTTTTCTATGTAAAAACATTAGTTACAAACCCTTGTTTTGAAATGTGTAGCAAAGGACTACAGAGTTTCAAAAAAAAAAAATTAAGTTATTTAATAACTTTTCTAAGAAGAAAAACAATATTTAGCAAAGTTGTGAGTCTGACTTACACTTAATAATAAACACTCTTTGCTACGGCACATGTATTTGCGGGCTGAACACATACACGTAACAGTCTAGCACTGGCAGAAACGCTTTCTGATGAGACCCAAGCAGGGTAAGGTTTATGAAGACCTTTTGTTATTTCATGACATGAAACAGAAAGTGGATTAGCTGCCTAAAGTAAACCATTAAGGGATAATTACAATGTACTTCTAAAACTGGATCTTCAAAAATAAACTTTAACTATAAATTAAGACTCCAAAACAGTAATTTGAGCATTTGTGCAGAGACCCATTCACCTTATTTGAGCACCACCAAGGTGAGCAGAGAGAACTGCAGGGCTACGACTCCCAGTTAATCACACAGAAATTAAACGCTAGCATTTTTAATTTTGCTAAATAACAAATCCCATTAAGAACTCAGGGAGACTAATTTACTATATCACTTTCCACAGATTTTCTTTACTTGGTATCAACTTTCATTTTAACTAAACACCTTTTAGGGTGTGAAGGTGAAGCGTTACAGGGAAAGCAGGCCGGGTAACCTGTAAGACAGCATCACCCCATTTTCCTACATAGCTTTGAACAGGAGTGTCCTTACAGCAGTGACACCTTGTTCTCACCTTGGCTGACAGATACAGGGAGATCCACTTGGTTCTCACAGAAAAGCCCAACTTCAGGGGTAGCAAGAGAACACACCATGCAATCAACCAAACATGAGAAAGCAGAAGCCGACGTCCGTTTTACAGAGAACAGGCAATCCACAAAAGTAGCACATAACATGCCGTGATTTCAACCATAACGTGAAGGGCGAATAGTAGAACTGGCGTTACATTTGAAAAAAGAAGACGGCAGCTTTGCCAACGATCTCAGGCCTCCCTTTAACATAGTACAGAATGCAAACGAGGAAGGAAGAGTCTCCCTCTTCTCCATGCATTGCCATGACAACTAGCTGTGTCATGGTAATAACCCTCCCTAAGGCCGTGCCCAAGAACAATCACCTCGAAGTGTTTAAACCCATGTGATGTCGGTGATAAATGCCGATTACAATACTTATTCAGCAACTCTAAATTGTCACCCGCAGCTGTTGCCACCTCTTGAAATAATTTTTCATTGCAGCACCACACAAAAGTCTTCCTCAGTTCCACCCTGTACATCTCTGAGGCTCTCTTCAAACAAGTCAGAGACCAGATATACTGTGACACGGTGAGATTACCAGTTGGCAAAGAGAACAGCTAAAAAAGGGCTCACTGTAATTTCACTATGTAGACAAAAAGTCAGTCAAAAAGCTCATTTTGTAAACTGTTGCACATCACGTGGATGGGAATCTAGCCCAAAAATTCACCAAGTGGAGAACAACAAAATTATATATTCTCAACACAATTAGATGTGAACACAGCCTGAGGAAAACAGCCTGCTGAGAGCAAAAACATACAGCCAGGCATTTATACACAATGAGACCTTTGCAGATCACAAAGTCTGAAAGAACATAAGCTGCTTCTTCAAATACCATTTAAAGTTAAGACAAATACAGAAACCCAGTTGCATCTTTTCTTTCGTCTCCATCAGCAAGGGAGGAGATACGGGAGGTGTACACACACACACATTAAGCCAATTCGGCCCAGCCCAGCCGGGAAATGAGCCCAATGGAATAAATTCACCCCACACCTACACCAGGTTTAGTTGAGGCCAACACTGGAATTTTGTCGCAACTCTCACAGTTTAAACATCCACATTTCTGTAACAAAGTTACAGTAAGAAGCAAGCTGCAGTTAAACAGGTACAATGTTCACCTTATTTTACTTGCAGAAGTATTTTATTATTAGAAATCTTGCTGAACAAACCAGTCATAATGGATGTAGGAGAATAGGTATTTATTTATTCATTTAAAAATAAACAAACACAGGAATAATGTTCATGATTAGAAGGCACTCATCTTAAAAAAGTGTCCTATCTGCAAAGCAATTAGTCCGTTCATCTTAATTAAGGTTGCAAAAAATTACTTGAGGTTCTGTAGAACACGGAAGTGGGTTACAGAAGCAGTACAGCTTCTTGTAAAGGACACAGAGGTGAAAGAAGTCTAGAAATACTTAGCCAAAGGATGTTCTATGTCGGGGTTTTTTTGTATGTCAGTCAAAATACTTAACTTACGTTCACTGCTTTAATGCTTCATTATCTGCACAGAAACAACGTGCTTACGAATTTGAACGTAGCAGATTTGAAGGCACCTTCATGTTACACAGAATCAATCCATTTAACCAACAGAAAGCTAGAATTAAAAGCAAACTGCGGATTTGAGCAGACTATTAAAAGGGGAACAGCCATCACATTAGATGCATCACAAAGATGTGTGAGCTCAATTTCACCAAATCTCAGGTGAACAGACAGGTTTTACAGCCGTTGTCAATTTTACGGTAAATTTACAACATGAAACTGTCATTTTCAAAATCCGCACTCTACTACAGTAAGAGAAAATGAATTGCATACTGTTGTACTCTGCAACCTTCAAAAAAATACAGATCTTAATTTTTAATACGTTCAAAAATTCTTTGGCACAGATGCGGAAAATTTTTCTGCCTAGTTTCCCGTAATGAACATAGCAGTTGTTATTGAGAGAAGCTTCACTGAGAACCTTCCACAAAACCTAACTATCTCTGTAAAATAAGCCTAAAACTTCTGTAATTAATCAGGACAGCCCAGAATGGAAAACCAGTTAACAACCATTTCACTACAACCTGTGTCACATGCTGCATTACTGGGGAGTGCCTTCATGGACACATTCAGCAAATTTCCTGGATAAGAAAAATTCTCTCTGAGGCAAATTAAATCTCATTTGTATTCTGAGCTTCCCCTCCTACAGTAGTCACTAAAGGCTTTCACAACTATAATTTGTGAAATGATTAACATAATGTGTGTGCTTGTTTTACAGCAATCTACCTTTAAATACTTCAGCTAAAATTAATAAAAGTACAAGCCACACACGTGGACAATAACAATATTTGCACTCATGCACAATAAAACAGGGCTATCTGGAACACAAAATGGTTAGGTAATTTGGGAAGCAGTTTTCCTTCTGCACCCTCATCACTGTTTAGCACTATGTGTCTGTCCAAGCATATTATGGATAAACCAAACCAATGGAAGCACTAGGAACTGGTGGACAACGTGCCAGACAAAGCCGACTCTCCCAGTTTCACCTCTCAGTGCACAATCACAGTAATGGCGCAGGTACGGCGATGCCTTGCACTGAGCATGACAGCACTTCCCTTCACTGATCAGGCTTCCAACATGCCCTGAAAAGACCGGTGCTAAAAATAAAGCTTTATTTCTATTTCAATCCTTGCACTGAGTTAATACGCTTGGCCCTTGGCAAGACTGTCAAAGGATCCACACAGTTGCTGTTCTTAGTAAACCTCATTAGGGACTGAACCGGCTCCATCCCTTCACCCAGCCAGGTTTAGGACTTCCATCCCACTGCCTCTCCCGGTATCTGTGACCTGGCCAGATGCTGCCCCACTTGCTCTTCCCTTCCCGCGCTGAACCGGAAACGAGAGCAGAACATGCTGACTTTCACAGCAATCCTTCTGGTTCTTATAACTGAATGACTCATTATGCAAAGCAAACAAACAAACAAAAAAAATCCCAGATTAAGCCTTTGAAACAAGTTAGGAGGTCTCCTGAATGTTAAGCGTTGTTATGAATCTAACTGTTTGCGTAAAAGTCAAAGCAGGTAATAAGAAGCCAATAACCAATCCATAACTCAAAAGCGAACTTCCCAGCAAAATATCTCCGATTTTATACCAAACCGTGTCAAATCTGCAAGATGCCATTTTTGTCTTGCTCCACTGCAGGCAGCTACTGTTTGTCTAGCAGAGTAATCCTTTTCAGTTAACTCTGTTCAGATCCTTTTTCTTTTAATAATTTTTATACATGCTTTCAGGAAAGACGAGAGAATTCAGCATTCAAGTTTGAGATTTCTGCACCCTGTCTTTTATGCTGATTCCACTCACTAAGTAATACAGGTTAAGACAGATGGATGCAAGATTGTATGTTAGATGCTTTAAAAATCAGGTATTGGTTTTACACCACTACTCCTTCTTGAAGGACAGCAGAAGAAGGATGCAGCCTCACACAAAGTTTCTAACAATGAAAAGTCCCCTCTGTACATTCCTCTTTTCCCTGTTTTCTCCCTCCTTTCTGTCTTTCCCTGTTGATCCTCACGTCCCATCTTTGGGCTGCAAGGACTGACAGGCTCCACAACTAAACACGTGAGCCTCCTAGCAGGCACCTTCTGACAGACCAGCTGGAAGGCAGATGGTTCCCCTGTTTTGTCTGGGCAGTCACCAGATGGGAAGCACACAGATCTCCAGAAAGAAGTGCATGTTGTCTCTCAGCTTCAGCAGGCCAGAAGAGCTTCCTGTTGTCTTATCCGTACTCCAGACTCTTTCCACACTTTCATTCTGTATTTATTCCCTGCATGGCATACCTATTTTACTACCTTCACGTGTTTTCCTGCCCTTAAGTCTGTTTCTGCAGCTAATTCTCTACAACAATCCCCATGTTTTTCATCTCCATGTTCAAAGCAGGATGATCTACAATGATTAGGATGATTTCTTCAGTTCATCACAAGCATCGACCCCACTGGAAAACTTGACACAAGAATTCCTTTCTAGTATATGAATTAGCAGCTCCACAAATTAAGTATTTAAGACATACGTGCAAGAATGTAAGTTTTTACTTATCCTTGAACATCTACACTCAGATTAAGAGCTGGAAACATTAACATTACCTTTTTCTTATTAGGAAACCGACAAAGATACAACTGAAGCAATCTCAAAGACATACTACCATATTCCTTCAGCCTAGGGCATTATCAGAGAGGCACCAGGAAAGTTGCTACTTAATTTGTCGGTTGATCTCTGTACACTTTTCCCTAGGGGAAGCACACAATCTAAACCAAACTTCAATCTAATTCAAGCACAGACTAAGGAATCAAAATTGGTCCGTAAAAGAACTGGCAGCCATCTCCAAAAACCTTCTACAGTCAGAGATGCTATACCATTGTCTGACAGCCACATCAGGTGAGTACCATCCTTAGTCCAAACGCTAGCGATACATACTGTGAACACATCTCCTATGGGGTCTTACTGATTCCTGCTCTCACTCCTATTCTCTTATTTTAACTTTGCTCACACTGCTCAGCCAAGAGTTATGCTTCTCTCTACTTAATGCGAAAAGCAACTGCCAGCACAATGCTTAAAGAGAACAAAGAGATGCCACCAACTCTTCCAGATGCCATCAGGAGGTTGGTAAGAAGCACTGCCTGTACTGTGTGCACAGGGCTAGCAAGCTAAATCCAACCCCTTCTCTGGAAAAGACACACAGCTTCATAATTCGGGGTTCTTCATTAGTAAGGTATGTTATTATTCACCACTTGAAAGAAATGAAACTGAATCACAGCAGATACTCTACTCTTACTCAGTCACTGGCTTTCTGCTGCCTTCACTTTCCCCTTTGCCACACTCTTCTTTTCCACCTTCTCAAAGAAATGAGAAAGGCTTTGCATTCTGGCTGATCCCCTTGACACTTTTTTTTTTTTTTTTTTTAAAGTAACACAGTCTTTTACCATCTCGTTTGATACTATAACATAATTTGTACAAAAAGGCCCTGCAAAGGGGACACTTCTCCAATTCACACATTCCTAACTCTCTGCAAGCTTTAACACAACCCAGATCATTTCCCTGCTCTACCTGGCATTAGTTATTAATCTGTTTACTGCATTG